CCTTCGCACGTCGAATTCGTAACACTGCCGACGCGTTATTTACCGGCGATCGCCGCCGCGACGGATGACTTTTCCTTCTCCTTCTACGAAACCAGCGAATCAGTTTCTCCTATCTGAGCGTATATTCCTTCTGAACGACCCTCGGCAGAACTGCTCCATCGGAGGACATCTTGACGATACGAGTATCGCCGAAGGGAGACTTGAAACGATAATTAAAATAAAGTGCAGTGTAAACGGTGAACGTTTGAAATGTGTTCTTTCGTTACCAATCGAGGAGATCCAATGAATTATTTATGACGCTATTTTTAGGAACGTACGATTCCATCGTTTGCAATGTAAATTTGCGACGGAGGACAGGAATAATGATAAATCGCAGAGAAAGACTGTAAACTGTGAAAAACATCAACCAACGTTGATTTCAATATATTCCACCTACTAAAATGTTTTATTTGTAGCCAAACGTTACTTCAGCGGACTGAAATGAACAATAGAAAAAAGAAAAAGAAACTCAGCGATATCGAGATGAGAAAAGTTATTGGTAAAAAATGGAATGCATGGTTCACACTGTTTCTTCGATTTAGTTAGTTAGAAATGACGGAACGATCTAAAGTGAGCCGGAGAACGAACGAAGAAGCATTCGCTAATAAACAAATAAACGAGCCTGCACTTTCCGCCAAGTCACGAGAGCCTCACCTGGTTCGTCCGATTGCTCCAGCTGAATTATTTCCTCCAAGCTGACGAGTTGCTCTATCGACGAAGAATGATCGTCCGCCGTCGCCGCGACGGCTCTTCTCGAAACGCAGCACAACATCGAAGAGCATGGAGACGCGTCGACTGAGCCTCTCGATCGACACCAGGCTGTTCTTGTACACGCGACGCGTGTATCCGTAATCTCGTTCTCTTCTCTTGTTAAATAGAGTTTATTTTAGGTGTCACTGCGAGAGCATCAGGACCGCTCGCCCCTTCTTTTTAACACTGCAACTACCAGTCAAAATGGCTGGTTTTACCATTTTACTTTAAAATTTCTATTTCACGTTACATTGTTTTTCCCCCCCGCAATGATGCAATGATAACTAGAGAAATAATACAGCGAATTTTATTTTATCTTTATTTGTTAGAAATCGAAATAATTTTGCATGTCAAAGTGTAAAAGGGTCCCACGATCTGTTTACCGATTTTTCGCACAACTTCTTTTTAGAATTTATACTGTTATCGTTCAATATTATGGTGATAAAATAATCAGGAAATATTGCGCATTTTCCTTACTAATTGACGTATAATGTTTTGCACTTGAATTAGAACTAGAGAA